TTTAGTTAATTTTATTAAACTTAGAGCAATTAAAATATTTTATTCAATAGTTTATTTAAAATTTTAAAAATATTTATTAGAAAAATAAAACAAAATATAGTACAAAAAAAAAATGAAAACTGGAATAATTACAAACTCCACCCAAGAAAAACCATACTCATTTTCTAAAGTACTCTGCAATACCAAAATCTCTATCTCCAAATTATCATTTATTGTCTTCAAGTCTGCAACCCGAACTCTTAATCTATTTTTTTCCAACCGCAACCTCTTCAACCAAACATCATTTTCATAATTCTGCCAAACTAGTTTAACCGGATTATGCTCTTGTAGCTGTACCTGGAGGTTCACCACTTGATTTTGCAACCCCTGGATAATAGCCAAAATGGACTAACTTCTAGTTGTTCGTGGCATCTAAGTTTTGACAAAAGTGTCATTAGAAAAAGAATGCTTTTTCCAAGATGAGTATACTTAAAAATAAGAGTATAAAAAGAAGGAAAAGAGGAAATAATAAAGGAAAAAGTATCCATCAGGGCCATGCAGTCAATCATGCAAGTCATAAAAAAAAATTACTCATCCAAGCATGAAGGACTATTAGCTCACCCAGATATGAAAGACTAGCAGTTGCCCCGAAAGTGTAAAGCTAACAAGGTTTAGTACATGGTTTAAAAAGTATACCCACCTTCAACAAAGAAAACAAAAAGCAAGACAAGCAAGACAAGAGAAGTTATTGAGAAACTAAAGAAGAAAAGAGAAGAGTATTAAACAAGAAAGTTTCTAATATAAAGAAATTATGGAAAAGAATAGTACTAAAAAGAAGATTTGCATGTGAAATTTTTGAACAACAAAACACACCGAAGAACAAGAATATAAATGAGAATTACAACAATGGATAAAATTTTTTATGCCAAGAAAAACTATTGCATAGTATAAACAAAGAAAATCATAAACAATAATGATGTGATTTATAAATTTAGAAAATGAAAAACAATTCAGAATGCAAAGCTAATTTTAGCACAAAGAATTGTATGAAATCCGAAAACCTCCTAATTTTTAAGGAAGAAGCAAACAAAGAAACTAATAAAACACATGGTTCTAGCATGTGGAAATTCGACAAAGAAAATCATATCTACTAAATTAGTATTACTATAATTATTTATCTTTTTAGAAAGAAGATTCGAAAGAAAGACTTTGGCAAAAATAGAAATAATATATTTTTATAATATATTGTCCATTTTAAATCAACTATAATCAAAATATATAATTAAAATCTAATGACTTTATTGGACAATTACAAAGATAATGCTTGAAGGAATACTAAAAAAATCTCTAAAAAAACAAAAAGCTAAATTCAATTCCAAGATACAGCAAGAAAAAATATTATAACAGTAACCAACTTGGCAAATACTATAAAAAACTCTTACTATTATTCTTGAAAAACTAGAATTTTCAGAGAAAATTCTTAAAGGTGATAGAAAATACAAGACAATTTTTAATTTTTAATTATATATTGCACACTATATTATCTATTTTAGAGTAACTGTAATTAACATGTAATTATTACCCTATTAATGTTCAAAAGGAGTAGCTAGAAAAATTTTAGTATTATTTGAACTATGGATTAACGGTTACGGTGGAGGGCTGTTATTATGCAAACCCAGGTTCGAGACTGGCTAAGGGAGCTGCCTGCTAGGTACCAAGTTTAGTGTAGCCCTTAGTTAAAGTATTCAAATGATTGATTTTTTATTTTATTTTATTTTTATTATTATTATTTATTATTATTATTATTATTATTATTATTATTATTTTTTTTTTTTTTAGTTTATATATTTATTTTATTCAAAATGAAATAAACATCTACTCTAACTCTAATATCAACTTGACACAATCAACTTTTCCCAACAATCATTTTTACCACAAAAAAATCCAAAATTCTTAAAAAATACTTGCATCCATAAAGGTTGAAACAGACAGGGAAGTAGTCCTTAAGCTCCATAACTCGGTAGTTGTTATTTAGAGGTAGTTCTTATATGCTACCTGCTAACTTCCTCAGAGTTTATTACTCACTGCAGGGGCCAGGCACTTGTCGTTTAGAAATAGTTCTCATACACTATTTGCCGACAAGCCCAGAGTCTATCACTTATCTGAAAAAATAAAGAGAGTACCTGTGTCTTCTTATGGATATCAGTGTGTTGAGTAAAGAAAATACACACTCCTTTACTAAACAAAACAAAGTGGTTTCATCTCTTTTCTCCGCCTTCTCGCCGCTCTTCCAAAATTTCTCACAAAAGTGGGCAAAACAGTTTACCCCTCCAAAAGATCAGTATTGTTTACTCTTCCCAAATCTGGACAGTTCCGGCAAACTGCGATCACATGTCTGGTTTGTTTTGTTTATGGACCGTGCTGCTTTATGTAATACCGAGGTTGGCCGCTTATGTTGTTTAGGAGTCCGGATAACCTAGTCGGAAAATTTACTTGATAAGGCAAAGCTTTACATTAGAGATATACAAATATCATATTTGTTATATAATTTTTTCAGCCTGGCACAGGCAATAGTAGTGCTAAAAAAGACAGAATTTTTTGCTGTCTTTTTTGTTTTCTTTTTTTTTGTTATTTTCTCTTTTATATTCCCTTTCATATATGTTTTCTTTTTATTTTATTTCTTTGTTTTTTCTTTTTCCCTTGTTTTTTGGTCGTATTCGTTTTCTTTTTGTTTTTGTTGTTTTTATTTCCCCATTTACTTTGCCCCTTTGAAGAAGGAAAAATGTTAAAAAAAAGGCAATCTTGACAAAGCTAGCAGTAAGCTTATAGTAATTCTTTTGGGGAGCCATCTAGCAAGTTAGATGCCGGAGATGAATGAATTATTGTTGCGGCAGATCGCATTTGGGCACCATTACAAGCAGCCGAGTGAGTCTTTGTTGAAGAGTAGGAGGATAGAGGATATAGAGTTTATTGCAGGCTTTTTGTTCCAAAACTATGTATTTTGATTACACACTTCTAATACAATAAAGGCAGGATTGCCAAAGTTTAAAAAAAATATATATATATATTTATTTTATTTGAAAAAGAGAGTAATAACGTAATATATATATGTACAAAAGAAAGAAAATTACAAATCAAATTCTACATCTAAATCTATTGCAACACTATCTATACAACTCTCCAACTCAGCAACCTGAACCCGCAATTGATTTCTTTCTTGAACAACCCTCCAATGCTCCTTATCTTTTCTCCAATTCTCTTCTACCAACTCCACATCCCAAAAACAAATCTCTTCCAACTCTGCTTCCAACACTATAATTCTTCTCTTTAAGAATCTTACTTCATGTCACAATCTAATATGAATTACAAAGTTAATATTTTACTAAAAGCTATTATAAGAATTAGTAAATATTTACTTTTATTTTAATCTTGTACTCTGATAAGAGCCTCATAAAGAGACTTATTACTATTATGTTGTGAACATCAGACAGTATGTAAAATATGAGTGCAAGGCATTTTTAATGATTATTATTATTATTATTATTATTGTTATTGTTATTAATATTGTTGTGGTTGATATTATTGCTCTTAACAAAAAGAGAAAAGAAAATTTCTTAGAATCAGAAACCACACTATATAGAATATGGCTTATTCTAAATTAATCATGATCGACACAATGTGCAAAAATTTAGTAATTCTATTAGACAATCAAGATGAACTATTAACTCACAGAATTCGTTTTGAATGAGTTAACATTATAAGATATATTAGAGATCTCATCTCTATTAGATTCAGAAGATTGTAACAATCAAAACAAGCTACAATACATAACAAATGAACTATCAGTTAGCTAAATAATACCTTTTGTACTTTTTATACCTTTTATACCTTTTATACCTTTTGTACCTTTTATACTTTTATACCTTTTGTACCTTTTATACATTTTGTACCTTTTATATCTTTTATACTTTTATACCTTTTGTACCTTTTATACCTTTTATACATTTAGTACTTTTTATACCTTTTATACATGTTGTAAAAGCTATATAAACTCTAGCTTTTACCTTTCTTGTATTGGAGGATTTGTTCCCTGCAATGTTCTAATATATTAGGATTTTATAAGAATAAATACCTATAGATAGCTTTGTATCTAGACATTGTATTATAAATAAATAAACATATTTTTGTCCTAAAGTAAACCATGTCTCTATGCTTCTAATGAATATACCAAACTGCTCTAGTAAGGAAACATTCCACTTTCACACCGCTTTATATCTCACCCTGTTGTTTTAGAGATCCCTGTTGCTGTGTGCTATGTTGCAAGTGGTAAATTAAGAAGGCTATCCCACTTGTAACAGCAACTGCCAAATTTTTTTTTTTAAAAAAAAAAATAAAATAAAATCAAAAAAACTTTTACTTAAAAAAAATTTGACCCAAAATTTCTTATATACAATATAATAAAGCAAAAAAAAAAAAAAAAATCTGTAAATTAAAATTTTCTAATTTACACAAAATTTAACTAATTAATTTTTGTATTATAAAGTTTTATATAACAAAAAAGCAATTGTCAATAAAATTTTAAAATCATAACCGTTATAGCTATAGATTCAAATATTTTGTTAATTGGATTAAGATTTGATTTAAGATTAAATATTTGATCGAATCGAATCAAATCATGAAGCCCTAATTAGTAATGCTAGTATTGTTTATATAAATGTTTGATTGGGCTATGCATACTTATAAAGTTTATTCTGAATTAAATTTAAAATTTTTAATTGGAAAAGATTAGAAAAGATCTATATTAATAGTCTTTAGATACGTGCTAATAATATTGTTACGTATTAATATATTTTTTGTATACAATAGTTCATGTGATACAATTTAAATTACACAACTTCGTTATTATCGTTATTGCATAAAAGATACAGTCTAACATTGAAACAAATTATTTCCCACGTTAAAGTAACGTTAACAACATTCATTAAAAAAACACGTCACATTCATTATTAAATTATCATAATTCACTCTAACGCCATTTCCTTTTTGATCATAGCAATTGCTCGTCCCGGATTAAGCCCTTTTGGACATGTTCTCGTACAATTCATAATGGTATGACAACGATAGACTGAAAATGGATTTTGAAGCGCTTCCCGACGTTCTTGGGCGTAGTCGTCTCTCGAATCAATCATCCATCTATATGCTTGTAATAAAACTGCTGGTCCGAGATATTCATCCGAATTCCACCAGTAGCTGGGACACGAAGTAGAGCAGCAGGCACACAAAATACATTCATAAAGACCATCAAGTTTCTTACGGTCAGCGATCGATTGATAATGTTCCAGCTCCCCAGCTTTTGGCTTAGTCTTTTTTTTTAGGAATGGCTCAATAGATTTATATTGCTTGTAAAAGTGTGTAAGATCTGGAACAAGATCCTTAACAACGTACACTACAAAATATATTACCCATCAGATAATGCAGCTTACTAATTAATGTGGCAGATTAAAATGAAAATTTTCTATTTTTTTAGGAAAATTTAAATTTTTTGGGGGACATTTTTTAGGGTTAGTGTTAGGGTTAGGGTTTAGAGTTAGTTTTATTAATAAAAGAGTAAAAATTTGTTTTATAAGCTTTAAAAATGAGCAAGAAAGGTCCCCAGTTTCATTTTAATCCGATTTCATTACGATCTGCGACAATTAATGGATTTTTTGAAATTATAATTGTAAAGACTTACTGTGAGGCAATGGATAGATTTTTGTGCTACTTGTATTGCGGTCGATTTTAGATAGACATGCTAAAGTGTTTGCACCGTCGATATTCATTGCACATGAGCCACAAATACCCTCACGGCATGAACGACGAAAAGTCAGTGTAGAATCTTGTTCATTTTTGATCTTTATTAGGGCATCTAATACCATAGGGCCGCAGGTATTGAGATCTACATGATATTGTTGTAAATGAGGTTTTTCTGCCGGTTTATCAGGATTCTAGGTTGATACAAAAGATGAACTAAATGTTTTTAATATATCTACGTAAAATTCAAATTTTATTTTATTCAGAAGTCCCGAATAATCATGTAGTTTATATATGTTATTTCTTTACCCAGCGATAAATTGAAAAAGGTTTGACCAAAGGATCTTTGTTAGCGATTGATCCTACACTTGCGGATGCCACGGACTAAAACAATAAAAATTCAATAAGTATAAATAATTAAGATAATTCCGCTTATTTTATTTAGGATTACCTGCGCTTTTTGGGAAGGTGTGGTTGTCAAAAAACGAGTATTGCAAATAGTCTGATAATTTTCAAAATTAGACTTTATTACAAACTTATACGCGTAAAACAGAACAAGCTTGAACTCACAATTTCGAGAGTATGTCTCGAAACTCTGAAAAAAGATGGATTCTTTGACAGAGCAAGTAAACTCATTTTTACGAAAAAATTTTTAAAGTATGTAATTGCATGGCATTGATTATCTCTGTAGTTATATATAGTTATTGAACCGGTTTGCTTATAATCGGGTAACTAGGGTCCGAAATGGGCCGGGTCAGACCCGCAAATTTGCGGGTCGGGCCGGGTCTGGGCCTAAATTTTAGACCC